GATTCTTCATACCCTTTGTGAGATATATGTTCTCTAGTTTCCTCCATATTTTTTTGCGGAACTCTTCATCATCACCCCATATTTTATCATCTGAGAAAAAAAAAATTTGGATCAAACCCCAAGTACACTAGTTTATCTTCAATTAATCCCTTTCTAACATCTATGCAGAGCATTCACCACTATCAAAAACTTCCTCTAGATTCAAAGAACACAATGCATACATCACGTCGCATTGCCACATGCTAAAGTTTATTGTCCTCAAATCTTGTCGTATGGATATTGACGGGAAGGTAACCAACCTATGACTCAATGTAATTTTCACAGTCGTGGTGGATGTTAAAGTACCGGACGACATGCTATTATATATGGCTCCATCAGATCTCACCCAACTTGCTCCAATACATTTGTCTTACGCCCTCAACTTCGTCATAATTATAGCCGCACAACATCGAAATCACACCCATCCAATTATGACTCCAACTGTTGTGCAAAACAATATTAAAAAATGAAATTTCACAATAAACAATCAAACACGATATGATTTATGTGGTTCAACACAGATGTAGACATGATAGGGTACGAGATCCCCATACCGCATTCTAGCGCATGGACCGACCGATCTAAGCAAGAGGGAGAGAAGACTGACTCCCTCCTTTGGATTTGGCATCTCCTTTCAGTTGTGCGACCAATACAAATTATCTAGGGCTTATATATTTGATTTAATTTTTATTGTGTTTTCTGTCAAGATAGTCGTCGACATTTCGTGTTTTTCCTTCTAGAGATATATCATCCTCGACTCTCCCATCCGCCACAACCTCCCCTCTGATGCTACCATCTTTCCTCCCTGTTGCAGATGTCAGAGAACCCATATGGACTGCTTTTCATAAAATTGCCTTTTACTGTCACTTCCAATCGCTCATCCTTCAACCCTACCAATGCCTCACAAAGCTTCTTCTGCCAACCCCTAGTCTTCCTCCTCCTTATCTGCCATCTACCATTCCTGTTATTCTAACCAAAAACCTACCCTCTCCCTCCAGCCAACGCACAACAGCCCATCTTTCAACCGTCCTACCTTCAATTGTTGTAGACCTCCTCCCCACATTTTGCCATCCCACTATCCAACCGCAACCACCTAAAGCCATTCCATCTAGGGGTGTGAAATTGGCTCGTGAGCCGGCTTGAGCTCGACTCGATAAGTGGCTCGCAAGCAGAGCTCAGTGAAGTAACAAGCCAATCTCAAGGTAGTCCGACTCAACTCGTGAGCTGAATCATTTAAAAAATTATTAATATAAAATACATTCATAATATACTAAATTTGAATACTTTATTTGTAATGTATTAAAAATATTTAAAAAAATAGCATTATATATTTTGCGTTAAACGGTTTCTTATTATTTCTCTCCTAATTGCTCATTCTAATTGTCATTTTATCATAACACTACTATAAATTACTATTATTTTTCTCTTATAAAATAAAAAAGCCAGCTCGTGACCAGACTCGAACTCATAATTTTAAGCTCGAGCTCGAACTCGATAAAATTAATGAAGCTCGAGCTTAAGCCGATGGTGGCTCAAGCTCGACTCGACTCCACCCCTACTTCCATCCCACATGGCTAACCACGACCTCATAAGTCATCCCTAATCACATTTGAATTGTGTCTAATTAATATTTCTATTTTCGTCTCAAATTTCCTTAATTTTAAATTTAACATTAATATTTGATTTTCCTATATTTTTTGGGTTAATTCAAGTACTCAGCGCAAATCCGCTTGCGTCCATGAGGAGTTATTCCATTATCAGCACTTGGAAAGAAAAAAAATACAACTCTACCCCCTAAAAGCAACCCTAATCCCTTCTAAAAATAAGAGAGGATTATATCACATTAATAAAAATAAATAATGTCCAATTTATCCCTTATACAAACAAAGCCACTAATACAATAATAAATAATTAGCAAATAAAGGGATTTATGAATAAGTCACAATTCTTATATATTTTCATATCTAACAACTAAATTTTAAAATTCACAAACATGACGGTAGCATTTTCAACATCACATCAAAAATATCACTAATAAAAAAATTTCTAAAAAAATAAATAAATTTTCACATATATATTTTATTGTAATCGTGACACTAAAATACTACCAATCAATCATAGCACAGAGAAAACCAACACTTTGGTTCGACCAAAGTCAATTCAAATCAAATTTCAAAACACAGGCAAGTTACAATTGATACTGCAGAGATTAATTGGGATCATTATTAGTTTATATTTTATATTTATATTTTGATTTGAAATAATATATAAAAACATAAATAATTATGAAGTTCATTTAAAAACAAGTACATTCATTTTTAAAAATCAAATATAAAAATATATGAAAAAATTGTCAAGCATACACATTATTAAAAATAAAAGCAAAAAATAAAAAAATAAAAAAAAAACAAAAGAGAACCCTAAAAGCACAAGGAAATCACAAAATAAGGCAATAATGCACCAAAAGGTAATAAAAGAAGCAGCTAAGAAAACCACCAGTGAATGTGTATTTCTGAGCCAAAAAGATCAACAGATTAGTGAAACACAAGTGTTACTGAATAAATGTAAATATGAAATCCATTTGTAAAAATACAAAAAATAAATGAATAGATAGACCATAAACATCATCCACAGTGATTCAAATCAACTAGACATAAGAAAATGAGCATAATATATAACATAAACATTATAAATGTTAAGAAACAAGTTCAATAAAATGATAAAATGAAGCTGTAAAGATTGGGGTGGTGAAACTTACCAAACTGCACACAATCCCACTTTAAATATCCTCCCCTAAAGTAATCTTGTTGTGTTTGAATTTGATTCAAATAAAAGCCAGAAAACCAATATGTTAAGTAGCTTTGCATCAGGTATGTGTAATTATACAATTACATTTCAAGAGAAACTATTTCATTGTACATATAATACTAAAAAGAATCCCACTTAAAATGGGTACTATGAGAAATATATTAAATAATGATTGTTAATATTGGAAGAATAAAGCACCATTCTGCAAAGTGGAAGAAAATCAATAGCAGGGAAACAGATTGTGAATATATATGCTAGAGATTTTTCCGAAATGATAGAGAATATAAAATATGGTTGGGGGTGATAATGATTTTCTATGGGTCTAAACCATGATTCGTTACATCCCATGTGTGATGCCGGAGTACACGATCATTTAAGAATGACATGCTTGAGCTATTTCACTTCAATGAGGAAATGAAGTCTCCTCAAAACATGGTTTGGAGATCTAAATAGTCAAGATCACTAAGGTGAAGCTTTGGCTTAATAATGGGAAGCTATATGAGTTGTAAATAAATGAAGTACATAATCACATAAAAATGGCCAAGAATCATAAATAAAAAAAAAGACGTGGGTTTCATAGGAACCCCACATTACAGTGTTATGGTAGATTTTAATAGGTAATAAAGACCAACAAATCCTAAAATAAATCTATGAAAATCAGTAAAATGTAGATTGACATATTCATCCTGAAGAATTTTCTTCAATAATAAAAAAAAATGCCAAACAAATTTTATTTAGTTTTGAGACATATAAGTTTCCAATAGGTAGAAGTTGGTTCACATCTTTGATTCAACACAAAGAAGGGTTTTTTAGACTCAAGCCATTCCGAGGAGTCTTATTATCCAGAACAGAAGATGAAGAAGAGATACTTTCGCATCATACAGCGTAAGAAAATAGTGATTTTAAGTGAAAATTTTTGATAGAATACCTATGAAAATCCACCAGGAATCAACATTTTTGGCAATTTTACTGATTTCCTATCAATCTCTGTCCACTGAAAAAAACGCTACCATAGAATCTTATTTGTCACGCAATCATACATGTTTTGTTCATTGGAGATGGAAAAAAAATCGATAGATCAATTATCCTTAAATTATATAATGTTAATTTGTGTAAGTAGTTATTATACTTATATATTGGAAGTGATTAATCATGGTAGTACTTTAGCAGGCTGCATTTTGGATAATAAAACAAACATATAGACCATTTTTTAGAGTGTGATGAGAGCATTGATAATGAGTGATATCCTCTATTGATATTAAATATCAATATTTTGGCTAAGTAGACAACTCTGTAAAATGATGTATGTCATGCCTCAACTTTCTTGGATTATAAATTCTAGCATAATGTAAGAAAGTTTTTTGCTGATCCTAAATGCTGGAATGCTTTTAGTAATTAGTGACTATAGAACGCTAGAAGATATGTAATTTATGATAATCCATGTCCTATGAATGTTGAAATTATTTAATGATAAAAGATGATATAAATCCATAAAATAGAGAAATAAAATGAGATTTTCCCTGCTACCAAGTACTTAAATTGATTCATTCCTCCTACCTGAAAGGACGAAATTAGGTTTGGATTGTAACATGCATAGTTGTAAACACTTTGATTGCATCCATTTAATGGTATAGGTGTGTTCTTCAGTTGTTGTTGTTGGTATTATAGCTTATACTTGTCCTTCATTTCATTGTTATGCTTATGCTTTGTTGTAGCTTTATCTTATACAATAAAATTGTCACATTCTTACAGAAAATACTAATTATTATATATATTTCTATGTTCGCGATACCACCTTAAAATTCCAAATATACTTCATATAATTTAAACAAATCATAACCAAATGAATTCTTTGTAAATGATATGCACACACCACTAATACACAATTTGCATCACAACAGCAACAAAACAGTCATACAAACCAAAACGCTTCTCATAGGGACCAGCATTAACCTTTCTCCCATTACCCATTTTATCCAAATTATAATGCACTTTCCAAAAAAAAAAAAAAATTCATTAATATTTATAAGTTCCAAGTTCCTAAATAGAACAAGCTATGCAAGTTAAATGGTAAAGCATATATATCAAAAGACAAAATTAATGAGCCTGTACAGTAACACTAAGTTGAGCGTGACAAGAATAGATGTTTGATGAACAAAAAATGCTGAATCAAATATTAACCTTTTAAAGCAAAGTATTAGAGTAAATGATGAATTTCACATGAGGCATTAATCATACGAAACTGGATAATCATTCATGTAATACAATACTATTCAAAAATGGGCAGGTCAGAAGGTCTTCTGCCAATATGATAATAAGAATTTTGATTTGACAAGTCCAAGCACAGCAAGTTAGTTTCATCACTCGCCTTTCTCATCTTCAAAAAGTAACTATGCCTGCTAAAGAAAAGCTAGGATGTTAACAAGATTATCCTGACCCAAACTTGAATAGAATGGGTTATTTACCAGTTAAATTTGCTCTAATATAAGTACAATACATGAGTAATCAATTCATTTCGTTTTTTTTTTTTCACACACAAAAAAGAGAGAAATGAAAAGTAAAGAATATGTAGAGAAATCCATGTATTCTTTCTCTTCCATCTCTCCTTTTTCAAGGGGCGTTTATATACATACCACACAATTCTTATGTATTTACCTATCTGACACCCAAGCTTTCATATTTACATACATGCCACTCAAATCATTAAACATTACATAAAAAAATACCACTATCACTATCTTTTTAAAAGTAAAATATACTTATTCATGCATAGGCCTATGATACCAAGGTGTAATAAATGTACAGTGAAGCGCCAAAATAGTCCCCTGACTATTTACATGGGGCCATTTTAGTCTAATAGTTTAAGTGCTAAATTAGTCCCAAAACTGTTTCAATGAGGGCTAAAACAGTCCTCATAAAGGACCATTTCAACTCATATTAAAAAAGTCTAGGGACTAAATTGACATTTTTATAAATTTTGGGATTAAAATGGCCTCCAGTAAAGAGTCAGTGGACCGATTTGATGCTCTCTTTCTATATGTAAACAAACTTTGGGTGTTATATATGTAAATGCATAAGAATTGTGTGGTATGTACATAAATTTCCATTTTGTTAGTCTCTCCTTAATTACTCGTTGAGTAACATTGACATAATGGTTGTCCCTCGAGGTCAATATGATTATAACATTCATTGTTATAAATGATTTCAAATAGCTTACCATCGGATATCGGAAGTCAGCTCAGGATGAAAAGCAGTCCCAAGTATGTTCCGTTGCCTCACGGCAACTATCACTTTCCCCAGAGATTCTGTTATAGCCTATGAAGCAAAACCCTAATCAGATTACATATAAGAAATTAACTTTTATATTTTAAAGTGATGAATCTTCTGCGCTCATTGCAATCTGGGAAATTTACTTCATTTTTTATAAATGGAAAAGTAGACATTCAAATTTTATTACAGCTTTCTCAAATAGCCAAAACTCACAAGAAGGTTCCTTAGAAGCTGTTTTGCAAAGCTTATAATGGTGTGAATAAGAGTCAATAACAAAGTTGGGACTATTTAAGCTTTTATTGTCTCGTAATGCTTTCAATAATCGAAGGGTTAGTGATTTCTCTAGGTTTTAAATAACCAGCGGTCATTTGGGATGATTTTTTCTTAAATTTTATTCTTTTTTATTTTAACTTGTTCATAGGTTAATATAAAATGAAAACATATTTAACATCTTAAATATAGATTATCATGATACTACTTAGACAGGTTTATGATAAACAAGAAAAAATAAAATTGTAATATTTACATAAATACCACTCAATTTTTATGTATTTACATATCTAACACTTAGACTTCAATTTTACATTCATGCCAACTTCTGTTTGCATGAAAAGGTGTTTTTTCACTTTTTAAAAGTTAAATTGGTGGTACTTTTTATGTGATAATAAAGATTTGGGTGGTAAAAATGTAAGAATTTAAGTATAGATGTTGGACATATAAATACATAAGAATTGGGTGGTATGTATCTAAATGCCCGAATAAAATACATACTAGAAATAAAGAGGTTTAAGATCAAGACACATAACAGAAAGAACAAATGACGCAAGCAAAAAATATTTTCTATGACCAAGGAGAATTATTATGATACAGCTGAAGCATAATTATGGCATAAACCTTGCAGCAATTTCATAAAGATACAGGAAGGTATCCTTTTGAGGGATTTTTTAAGGGGGTGAATTCTAATATTTTTACTTTAACCACTCTATTAGTTTCACTTTTGTTTGGCTTTAGAGATTTAGAGTTCTTTCTAGTGAAACAGGGTGTATTTTGATTTGGGAAATTATGTTGGCTTGTGCCCCTCTTATTTGTATATTTGGTTGGTTTCTTTATGAGAAATAAGATCATCTCTCCTCTCCAATGGACATAAACTTATAAGCAGAACCATAAAACTGACTTCTTGTAATACTTAATAATTTGTTTTCATCAAATTCATTTTCCGTAGGCACTTGTACAACAACGACAATAAAGCCTTAATCCCACTACGTGGGGTCGGCTACATGAATACTTTTTCTCCATAGCGTCCTATTTAGTGTCATATTTTCATTTAGTTCTAGTAAATTAAGATCATTTTTTATACAATAAGCCTAAGTCTTCCTAGGTCTACCTTTGCCTTTCTTAACACAAGTCGAATCTAAAACATCTACTGTCCTAATCGGATCACTAGATGGTCGGCATTTAATGTGACCAAACCATCTAAGGCGACTTTCTCTAATTTTGTTCGTCACAGGAGCTACGTCAACCCTATCACGGATATATTCATTTCGTCTTTTGTCTCTAAGTGAAAAGCCACTCATCCACCTAATCATTCTCATCTTGGCAACACTTAACTTATTATTATGCTTCTCTTTTAAAGGCCAACATTCAGCGCTATAGAGCATTGCAAGTCTCACCACCGTCTTATAAAATTTTCCTTTCAGTCTAAGCAGTACTTTTCTATCACACAAAAGGCCCGAAACATTCCTCCACTTCAATCAACCAACTTGAATTCTACTATTAACATCTCCATCTATATCACCATCGCTTTGAACAACGAACCCAAGTTATCTAAATCGTTCACACCTTTTAATAATTTGATCATCCAAAGTCACACTTCTGTCACTAAAGCTACTACTACTAAAATTACATACCATGTATTCAGTTATAGTTCTACTTAAATGAAGGCCTTTAGACTCCAATGTAGACCTTCATATTTCAAGCTTTTCTGAGCTTTTTCACTCGTTTTATCTACGAGAAGGATATCATTAGCAAAAAGCATACACCAAGGTACATCCTCCTGTAGATGTCCAGTATGACCATCCATAACTAAAGCAAAAAGATATGGGCTTAAAGCCGATCCCTAATGTAATCCAACAGAAATAGGAAAATATT